TCAATAAATAAAGGAATAAATAACATTACAGCCAGAATTCTGTTAATCGCCTCAGAGTCTATAGCGCCATGTTTTACAATAATATTTAATAAATCTATTCAAACGTGTACTTTTTCTTCAATTTGGAAAAAACCTTCTTAAAATTAAATCCCCAAATCCCTCAGACACCAGATCAACAGGATAGCTTGCTGAAGTATCCAAAGTTTTGGAGCGACTGGTGCATCATCCATTGATAAACTACTTCGAATACATCTAACTCCTCGATCCTAGATAGACTGGCCTTAGAAAAGCCACTTACTTAGACTCAGCTAGTGTCTTCTAGATGGAATGCAATTAAAAGGAGAATGATCACGATCATGGTCTTGTTTGATTTCTATAAAACTTCTGACCATTCCGCATAACGTTTATCTTCACAAGTTTCGAAATGTAAAGATTGGAGATAAGGCATTAAGGTAGTTTTTTTAACTATGTGGCTGATAGAATACAAACCGTTATTTTTTATGATGGAACTGTTTTGGAATGGCTCAGATCTCAAACAGGGCCTCCCAGGGAAGTATCCTTGGACCACTACTATTTTCATCAATGACCTGCCAAAATACTATTTTTTACAAGCCATTTCGTTTATGCACTACTCTAAAGACATTATTATAAGTCTAAGAAGGGCTCAACTTGATACATAGCCGATGGTCGATTGAACTTTTCAAATTTGATTATAGATCATTGCAGCAAAGATACAGGTTATCATTATTGGTAGCGAATGGTACACATCCAGTATTGACCTATACTTCATACCGAAAATTATAATGAATTGTCACGAGATTTCTTTTTCCTTTATTGTAAAAATTCCGAGCTTTATAATTTTATCAAATCTGCAATGAAAGCAACATACCAACTATATTATTAAAAAATCAACATTTCATTAAATTCTCTATTGTTCTATAAAAAAGCTTTATCAATTACGATCAAGAAATACCTTATTAAGTCATTGATCTAACCGTATTTTGCATGTGTCTCTGTGATCTACATGCACTTGGACAAAACGTGCATAAAATCACTCCAAGTGGCTCACAATGTTTGCGTTTGTTTCGCTGTCGGCTATGTTCCCTTTATTCCCTTAGAAGATGCAATCACTCACTCCTTCTTTCATAGACTCCACTTAAACTGGCCCTCACGATTGAGTCTCAAGGAATCATAGTCCTATTGGTACTTACAGTTAGGCCAATCTGTACCCGTTCATCAACATATCTATCTACTTACATCAATCTATTAAACCGACCTCATCAAAATCGGTAGTCTCATCGTAATTTAACCTATGGTGTTTCGCTATCCGAGTCCGCGAATCCAAGCTTTTAAAAACTCGATTGCTCTTTATACCATGTTTCTTTTCGACAAGCTTTCAGTGAGATCTTATGAGACTGACAGATTGTCTGAGTACAAAAACTGACTTATCTCATTCTTTACGATACTCGAATATAACTTCTTGAAAAGGTTGAGTTTGGCAACTACCTCGTTGTCTATAAATAGGCTGTGGAGCGGGTGGTCGGTGACATCATTATTGTGGGTAGCACACTGTGTAACATGGTACATCACTTTTGTGATCAATGCACACCGCCTTTTTTCTCTGTCCAATAGATTCAATGTCTCAATGGCCGATTTTTTTTGGTCAAAACCGGATACGCTGTACTCGCCCTACATTTAGTTGCGCACTCGCGCTTTGCTTGGCTCTAGTTCCATTTATGCGCAGCTCCAGGTCGATGAGGACTGTATCCAGAGGGTGTAAACATTGCTGCAAGTTTTCACAAGCCTATTTGATTTGCAACGGTACGTCAAACAAAGAGTGTGCGCGAGTGTTTTAATTATCTAACAAAAGGTAGCCTTAGTTAATTTTCTATTAAATTATAACAAAAAGATATAGTGATTTTGCTATATTAAATGGCTTTTATGAGCGGTTCCTTAGACACGCTCTCGTTATCTCAAAATACATTCAAACAATCCTATCTAGGATTTCTACTAAATGTTTATTAGTACATTTCCTTTTGATGGTGTGTCTATCGATAAGTTCTCTCGTATAAATACCTAATTACGTAATTGCCTCTTTTTCGGATGATACAGCCATTATTATTATTTTAGCAGAAATAACTGGAATGAAGTTAAATCTATTATGAACAAATACTTGAGGACTATTGAAAATTGGCATACAATAAATAAAGGACCCCGCACTATCCTTATGGGAAATGGCTTTCGGTCAAAATTTTTGAAACTCAGCTATTTGGCAGATCTTGGCACATAGATCAAAAGTGTCCATGGGCTCAAAGCTCAAAAGTTGATGGTTCAGGATGTACAGGTCCCCGAAGTTGAACTTCGCAGGATATTTTATACACAGTAAGAAATAGGTGACTCGGGTTTTTTAAACTATGTATATATTTACGTACGTGCATATACTTATACATGCTTCAGTATCTGATATTAGGCTGATGTCGTGCAAATCCAAGATACCATAAAACACTAGCAACATGCGCACATGAACCTAGAGTACGTGCACCACTTTGGCAGGTACAATAGTAACCCAAAATCGGTTCATCACCATTTTCATTCTGCTGGTCGTCGTTATTCTGGACTTGATATGAGATAAATATCTGATGCCTGACTGCATTGCGAAACCTTGAAAATAGTCGTACTCTAAGAAAACCTGGTTCATTGATGTTTTAATCAACTTCGAAGTGCTCATCATTGTCTCTAACCAGTTTATCTTGAATATAAGACGGAGAAAGCTTGATTTGATACGTTCTAATAGCTAAATCTTGCAAGTAGTTCAATTCCAGTACGGGAAAATCCGCTATTTCCTCACCGTCTAGCGGTGCCCACTGTCCATTTCTTCTTGTCAAGTTATCAACTCCGACTCTCGCTTGCACGATATTGGGCATCCTTTCCGCGGGCTACGTAATTTTGATTTTTTATTTTTTTGTAGCGTTATGTTGGTACTCATGCCCCTTACTTGTGCTGACAAGGTCGGCCATTTTGATTGTTTAGTTAATTTTTGACGCTGTTTTGCTTGGATGTGTTTTGGCTCGTCTTCGGTTTTTGCCTATTTTAAAAAATGGATTAAAGAATCTGTATCAAATTTTGTGTGAAAAACAAAATAAAGCGCGCGGACGCATTCCGAATATTGACTGTGGCATATGGTAAAGCTACCTTGGACCAAAGTAACGTTTATCGGTGGTATAAAATGTTCTGATGGCCGAGAAGTTGTGAATGACGAACAACGTGACGCACGCCCGTGCACGTCAACAACAGACGAAAACATTGATAAAGTGAAGAAAATAGTATTGCCAATCGCCGAATCACCGTTAGAGAAGTTTTTGAGGATCTAAATATATCGATTGGCTCATACCTTTCGATTTTAAACAATGATTTGGGCATGAGTGGGGTCACCGCGAAATTCGTGCCAAAACTGCTCAATTTCGATCAAAAACAGCATCGCGTTAACATTGCTCAGGAGATGTTGGACTCGATCCATGACGACCCAAATCTGCTCCAGCGGATCATAACTGGTGATGAATAATGGATTTATGGTTATGATGTCGAAACTAAAGTTCAATCATCCCAATAGAAGCTGCCGCATGAGCCAAGACCGAAAAAAGCGCGCCAAGTTCGGTCGAACGTGAAGGTTTTGCTCACGTTTCCTTTGATTACAGGAGCGTGGTGTATTATGGATTTTTGTCACAAGATAGTACGGTCAATAAGGAATATTACCTGCAAGTTATGCACAATTTGCGCGAAGCAATCCGCCAGAAACGTCCGGATTTGCGGAAGAACAAAAATTGGCTTTTGCACCATAATAACGCTCCTGCTCAGACATCCTTACTTGTGCGTGAATATTTGACCAAAAACAATTCAGTAATGGTGCCGCAGCCACCATATTCCTCAGACTTGGTGCCTTGTGACTTTTTCCTGTTCCCAAAAGTGAAGAGGCCCACGAAAGGACGACTCAACACCACGATTGAGGAGATAAAGATGGCATCGATGGAGAAGCTGAACAAGATCACAAAAAATGATTTTTTTAAGTGCTTCGAGGATTGGAACAAACGTTAGCACAAGTGCATTATATTCGAGGGGGATTACTTTGAAGGGGATAAAATAGATATTCATAAATAAATAAATAATTTTTGAAAACATACAAAATTCGCGATACTTTTTCAACAGACCTCGTATTGGGTTATTGTTCACACTGACCAAAACAGCCAAAGAACTTGACTTATAACTAGCTACTTAACTCAGTAACGAGAAAACTTATCAATTTAGCAGCGTAACAGTCTTAACCGTGGCTACATAAGCTCAGTTGAAAATTAACCTAAGAAATTAAGCTCAAGGTCACAGGCATTCACCGAAGTTTAGCAGACATTGCTTGAAATATTTTTCACTGAATTCTGACAGTGTCAGGTCACTTGGCAAAAAGAAAAGGATTTAAGTTAGAAGTTTATAGGATAATCTTACCGGATCCCATATATGATTCTTCACGTAAACGTATAATTTCCCACTATTTCTGATTTCGGAGTCAAAAATTGGGATTCTATTTATAGAAACAAGATTGTCTTTCAGAACATCTCGAAAATCACATTCACTACGTGTATCTCTGCAAGTAGTTGTAAGATATTAAAACCTGCAATCTATTAATGGCAACTAAACAATATCACCGCCCTTCAAATCACAGAGAAATATAACTAATATAATAATTATTTTAATTATAACATTTTTTCCTAACAATGTTCATTAAAAATAATATAACAAATGTATAGCAATGGGTTTTTCTTGCCTAATGTATATCTAATGCTAGCACCAAAAAATTATAACTAAAACAACTTTTTTTCCGACATTTTCATAAGTTAATATTTAAAATCTAGTTAATATAATTTAAAAATAATCCATAGATCAAATTAACATAGAATCCTGATGATGAAATATAATTATACTAATATAAACATTATTATTTTTATATATACTTTCAAAATAACTTCTTCAGTAAAAACGATGATTTTGATATACTCAAATTCTTCGAGACGTGTAAGAATTTCTTTCATTGGTTTACTTTGTGATTTTTTTGCCATGGCACATATTCCCACCAAAACTTGTTTTCCTTCACCAGAAAGCTCATTATTAGTCGACAATCCATCCTCGCTATTACAGGCATTTATTAGTTCACCCTGAAACAAAAGTATATGTAATATGTAACAGTTTTGCGAGATTTTTATCTACGTCTATGTCGTATTCATATAATATAAATTCAGATTCATAATACTAAAATTGATTTGTAAAAAATCAGCTCTTTGTAAATTAACCAAAATATTCAATAAAATGACTTTTGGTGAAAAAACGAGATCATGAAGTAGATTCATTGTATTGATTTTAATGAAGTTAACATCTATATTTAATATTCTAAGGAATCCAAAAACATTCGTAGCGAAACGTTAATATTCAATGGTCTAAACTTTTTATTGGTCAATTACACAGGCCAACAAAATTTGACAAAGGTTCAGAACCAGAGACCAGACATAATATATTCCAAGGATTTTGATACGCTGAATCCAAATCCGAGCACAGAATTGCGCCAGCACGTCAGGATTTTGAGATATCCTAACCTAAAAGTGCGAAAATCACGTATTTTGGCTATATTCAGTACTTTATAACATTGCGAATAAATTTTTTCATGCAAAACTAACAACGGCATCTGAAAAGCAATTCTTATCGTACAAAAGCACTAACAATCTTTAGTTTATGTCTTCTTTTATCGTCAATTGAAATGTACTACTTATCAATTGGTTTATACGGCAACGCAATAAATTTCGACTATTATAACTCAAATCCCTAATCTTGGAGCATTGTAACCTGTGGGGGAATAAACCTAGCCCACTTAACCCTAAATTCTTTAACCCCCGAGCCCTGTGACCTTCGATTAAATAATCCCCGTCCCCTTAACCCTAAATATTTTAACCGAAGAAGGTTATAACAAGCGCGGCAATAAAACCTGCCAACTTAACCCCGAATTTCTTCACCTCGGAATCCTGTAACCTGCGATACAATAGCCCTAGATTCCTTGTGGCGCAAATTACTGGGCTCAGGCATTAAGGGATTTGCGTAACGGCATCGAAGGTTATAACATCACAGGTTTCAGGGCTACAGGGTTAACGGATTTAAGGTTAAGGGGGCAGTTAAAGGTTAAGGGGTCGGGGTTTTTGGGTTAACGGATTTAGGGTTAAGGGGGCAGTTAAAGGTTAAGGGGTCGGGGTTTTTGGGTTAACGGATTTAGGGTTATGGCCACGCAGATTATAGCCTTCTAGAATATCTCGGAATACTGACATGCTGGCGCAATTCTAAGCTGGGATTTGGATTTAGCGCATCGAAATTCTTCGGGTGCGTTATGTATAGTTTTTGGTTCTGAAGTTTGTCGGCCTGTGACAGACAGACAAATATTAGAATTAAAAATTTAAATAATTTGTTTAAATAAATTTAAATGTACAAATCTGATATCAAACTCGTGACTAGTAACCCCCAAAACCATGGAAATGTGGTGCAGCTTGCAAAAATATTCTATTATACAGGAATTTGTTTAAAGAAATTTTTTAAATAAAATACATTTTGCAAATCTGATATCAGATTCATAACCAGAGACCTCAAAAATCAGCAAAAGTACGTGCAACTTGCAAAAACATTGAGTCTTGCAACATTTGTTTAAATAAATTGTTTAAATAAATCTAAATTCACAAATCTAACATCAAACTCGTAATCAGTGACCCCTAAAACCATGGAAATGAGGTGCAACTTGCAAAAGTATTCAATTGTGCAAAAATTTGTTTAAACAAATTGCTTGAATAAAATAAGTTTCGAAAATCTGATATCCGATACGATCAGCGGAATCAAAAACCGTGAAATCTTTCATTCGTTTTTGAAATTCTGTAGATAGATGATGTAGAATATTACGTAACTTGAATGATTGTATGCTAAAGCTGAGATAGGTGAAAGCTGAGATAACTGATTTTGTGACATGCTAATCCTTCCGTGTTAGAGATCAGGTTTGAGTGGCGGGCTAACGGTTGAATTTCCTGTAAATGCTATTATCTTATTTTCTTCTACTTTATTTATTATAAGAATATTTATCATAAGAACATTTTTTATCCTCTTTGTTATTTATTATAAGAAAAATGAGTTCCACAAGCCCTTGTGCAAGAAAAATTGATACATTTTGTTATGTTTGTGGGAAGTTTGAAACAACTTCTTATCGACGATCGATTAATGATTCAATCAAAACTCTATATATGAAATGTTATAAGGTTCCGATCGACAATTTAGATAAGACATGGGTACCATCTTCAATTTGTAATTCTTGCAGACTTGCTATGTTGAAGTGGGATGATAATAGCAGCAATATGACTGTTATTGAACCGACCATCTGGCGTGAGCCCAAGGACCATGAAACTGATTGTTACTTCTGCTTATGTAATACAACGGGTTTCAATAAACAAAATTGAAATAAAATCGTCTACCCTGCGGTAGCGAGTGTAACACCAGCCAAAGTAGGAAAAGTAAGTAAACCCGGAAAAGAAGTTGGTTCGGCAAAAGTTGAACCGATGGATATTGATACAACTGAAGATGTCTCTTTTGAAGATAGTTCTGATGACGAGAGTCCTAAGCTTTTTGACCAAAGTTCGTTAGATGATTTTATTCGAGACCTCAATCTTCCAAAGGATAAAGCTGAACTCTATGCTTCAAGACTCCAAGAAAGGAAGCTATTATTACCTGGAACAAAAGTGTCAATTTACAGAAACCGAGAAGAGGCGTTCTTAAAGTACTTTACAATGGAGGATGTGATGGTGTACTGTAATAACATCGAAGAATTGGTTAACTTGTATATCCAAGATTTGTACAAGCCAGAAAACTGGCTTCATTGATTCTTCCACAGAAAGTCTCAAAGCTGTGTTACTACACAACGGAAATGAGTATGCGGCACTTCCTGTAGGTCACTCAACTGCACTAAAAGAATCATACAATAGTTTTCAATTTCTACTGGAAAAAATAAATTACAAGACTCACGATTGGCTTGTTTGTGGTGACTTTAAGATGATAAATCTTATAATTGGCTTGCAGTCGGGAAATACCAAATTTCCGTGTTTCCTCTGCCTTTGGGACAGCCGTGCAAGAGATAAGCATTGGGTAACAAAAAAATGGCCCACAAGAACAGAATGGAAAATAGGTTCTCATAATGGCGCCTACGTAGATCTTGTTGATAGAGAGAGAGAGAGAGAGTATTACTGCCACCACTTCACATCAAATTAGGTTTAATGAAACAGTTTGTGAAAGCCTTGAATAAAGAAGGTAAATGTTTCAATCATTTGAAAGCCACATTTCCCAAATTGAGTGATGCAAAAATTAAGGAAGGCATTTTCGTTGGGCCTGATATACGAAAACTCATGAAAGATGATACATTTATCGAAACCATGACTCTCGTTGAAAAGAATGCTTGGTTGAGCTTCAAAGATGTTATAGAAAAATTTTTAGGCAATAATCGAGACCCGCAGTTTGAAACTATTGTGTCCAACATGTTACAGAATTTCCGAAAAATGGGTCATCTAATGAGCCTTAAAATATACTTCCTTCATTCTTATTTGGACTATTTCCCAGAAAATCTTGGAGCATATAGTGAGGAGATGGGTGAACGATTTCACCAAGACTTTAAACAAAAGGAACAACACTACCAAGGAAGGTGGGACGAAAAAATGATGGGCGACTACTGCTGGTCATTGAAAAGGGATGATAATAACCCTACTAGTCACAAACGTAAATCTCTTCAACGGTCGTTTGAAATGAAGCGCCAACGTTTTCACAAAAAGAAAGCATAACATCACAGAATTGGCGGTTATAGGTTTAAGAATATACATTCTAAAGATTGTCAGCTTTTTAGTGTAACCTCTCTAACTACATTGGAGCTTAGGTTGAAATGCTATGGATTACAGTCCACTTAAATTTATTTGTCCTGTGCTTGATCCTCACTGCTCACTGCATTTAGTTTAACCTGTTGTGAGTTTAGCGCTCGCAGATCATAGCAAACGTAAGTTCACCTGCAAGTTATATCGTACTCAATATACCTGTTACGGATTATAGCGCGCTTAAATTAACCTGTAGCAGGTTATAGCGAATTTAGGTTAACTTGCCGTGATTTTGAGCTTGCAGGTTATAGCGCACTTGAGTCAACAAGCCGCGTATTATAACGTACTTAGCTTAACCTCTCGCGAGTCATAGAGCGCTTAGGTTAAATTATCGTGGTTTTAAGCTGAGTGTAGGTTATAGCGCACTTAGGCAATCCTGTCATGGTTTTGAGCTTGCAGGTTATAGCGCACTTAAGTTAATCTGTTGCTGGTTCTAGAGTTATAGGATTTTCAGTGCATTTAGGTTATAACCATCTGCCTTAGCCTGCCCTAAATTTATAGCTGCCATTTTAGAGTGCATCTAATAAATTCACCTAGATTCGCCGTAAATTAGTACAATGGTAGACCTTTATATGCTGGTGTAAGTTTTTCCTACTACTGAAGATTGCAAAAAAAAATCAAGATTTTTCATACTCCAGTATAAATCAATTGATAAATGGCACATTTTAATTGACGGTATCTCTGCTGGAAAAAGACAAAAAAATCGGTAATGCATTTTGTCGGCCAAGAGTTGCTCTTTCAGATGCCGTTGTCAGTTTTGCATGAAAAAATTTATTCACAATGTTAGAAGGTACCGAATATAGCCAAAAAACGTGATTTTCGCACTTTTAGGTTAGGATATCTCAAAATCCTGATGTGCTAGCGCAATTCTGAGCTCGGATTTGGATTCAGCGCACTAAAATCCTTCAGGTGTACTATGTCTGGTCTCTGGTTCTGAAACCTTGTTGGCCTGTGTTATTTACTGAGGGCTGACTTTTTAAAAATCGATTTTATTATCATGAATGAGGAAGAAACTTTATAATCCGGTGCAAAATTTTATAATTCGAAATATCAATCGATATTTTAGTACATGACAGAGGTATAAGTCTAACCCAACTTGAAAAATATTTAGAAAATTTTTTATACTTCAGGACAATATACTGCAGATTTTTTATTAATGAAATTTCATGTTGTCATATAATTTTAATAAAATTGAGTGAATATTTTGAAACCACAAATTATCC